GCTATATTATACGCATTTTACAACATTTCGTAACGAAACTTTGGAATATTACTAATTTTGTGATGCTCTTTCAAGCTGTGATGAAATTTTTGTCTAGATCAAAATTTAGTCTATAATGCAAATGGTCCATTAGTTAGCGTGAGTCTAGTTCGCATGGTTTACTGATCAAATTGCCATTTCAAAGACGATTTGCCATGTAAATGAAGTTACACGGAATTTGATCGGTTCGGCAGCCTTTCGTGTCGCGAACTGTCGTTAAAAAATCGTTCCGTGTAACATCACCTACATATGTTATTGAAAACATTTCAGGTAAGAACAAAGTGCAATTGTTCATTCCTGGAATGGAATGCACGGCAGCTAAATATGACCTGTTTTTCTCAAACTACTGGAGTTAGATTTTTGAACGAACTAAAACCCAAAAAAGAACCACTCACTCTATTTCGTCCAGCAAAGTCGAGTAAACGACCAGGAGTTCCAATGAGAATATGACAACCACGTTCCAGTCTCGACAACTGATGTGCCACACTCACACCACCATAGCAGACAACAGGACGTAGATATGTACCAGTGGAGAACTTTAGAGCTTCAGTAAAGATTTGAGAAGCCAGTTCACGTGTAGGAGCTATACACAAGGCTGCAGGACACGGCGCATCACCACCTAGGTAGCTGGCTTCTGCCAAACGATTGTTTACCATGCCAGCCATTACTGGTAACAGAAATGCTACCTACACAAGAAAAATTAAAAGTCAGTCATGAGCACTTTGCGAAATAATGGGGTGACCTATTCAGATCAATGAGAAACGTTTGTGGGCCAGCCGGACTTGAATTTGTTATACCATGCACGACTTATTCCGCCTAACAAGCAAGAAATTAATGAAATTCTTTCAACCTCCTGAATCTCTTGCCATCAACAAATATGGTTGTTGTTGGATAGCCCACCATATGCGAAGTCAATAACAAACTGACGCAGCAATGTGAGCCACGCTGGCATCCCGAGACAACCTGTTATATGAACATTCCCTAAGACACAATACGGCTGAATCTATAAGGTAGGGAATTTCAATGCTTTTTCCTTGAATCAAGACGAAGATATTTTGCTGGAGCTTCGTGAAGTACTATTTCCAGTCAATACGTGGACGTTTGACCACGGTGTTTGATTATAGCCTGTATTCCATTCCACTACACCGTCACTACACCGTTTGTAGTGGACTGGAACACAGGCTAGCCTTTATGGGTAAACTTATTGCGTAAAAAGGTACCGTTTTAAACCTAATTTGTTGTTTTCACTTGTACCAGTGGTACGTAGAGCCTAGATGGTGAAGTTATCTTTGGTTAATCAAATATACGACGAACCACTTTTTCTAAATAGTCTTGTATAATATAGCTATAGCTGTACATTTTTACATGATACACTATACAAATAATGAATGTTTATGAGTGCAATGGTAAGAATATTTTCATGAGGTGAAAGATGGAATGTTCCATTCAACGAGGCGACAGCCGAGTTGAATGGAACATTCCATCTTTCACCGAATGAAAATATTCTTACCATTGCACGAAAAACATTCATTATTTGTTTTATATAATACCAAAATAGACTAATAGATTCGTATGAGAAGCATTTTGAGGGATGCGATTTATCGAAAACACAAAGAGTGCAATTGTACTATACGTTTTATTCCATTGCACTCGCAGAGAGTGCAATGGAACGTATTCCATTGCACTCTTGGGAAATGGAATTTTCTATTCAATACCACGTGATCATAAACAGCCAATTAAACGATCAGAATTCAGTAAGGTATTATATAAATTTGAATATTGTACACAGTTTTGAATATTGTGCAAAGAACTATTGTAAATACTAACAAAGTGACATACAACAGATTCATATGTACGTTGTTCATAAAATCTATAAATTATATCAATAGTGGTTTAATATGTCTAATCAACAGATAATATAACATTAAAAAGAATCCAAACAATTAGGCTGAAATTTGGATCTATTTGAGTAATTAATGTTTGGCCACCATACTGAGGTACCTAATATCATTTAACGTTTCTGATGTTACTCCTAGTGTATATCCACACCGGGCAAGCTTGAAAAGTATGCCTGGTCACGGACAAAGCTTGAAAAATATGCCTGGTCAATTTACTTGATTCTGATTGGTTAAAAACCGTGCCTATTACCTAAAATCGCAGCAAAAATTGCAAGTGTAAACGGGCCTTATATGGCTACCAAAAATCAAATGCCAAAATCTTGCAATCAAATTGGTCTTCTCTTTTCGATGGTGCTTTTGATATTGACATTGTTTATAATACTTGGTTTGCCCATTTTCGCACAATTATTGAGAAGCATATTCCGTTAAAAATTGTCACCATAAGGCCAAGGGATAAACCTTGGATGACTGGTGCGGTTCGTCGTGCAATACGTAAACGTAACCGACAACTTCGAACTCATAATAATAGACCAAATGAGTACTCATGGGAAAATTACCGTAGACAACGTAATTTAACAACACAATTGATTAGATCTGCTAAACAATCTTATTATGATAAAGTCAATAAAGACTTAAGTAATCCACTGATAAGTGCCAAAAAATGGTGGTCCATATCAAAAAATCTTTGTGGCAAGAAAAATAGTTCAAGAATACCATCGATATTAGAAAACAATATTTCGATAAATAATCCCAGAGAAAAAGCCTGTATTTTTAACTCCTATTTTGTTACCCAAACTCAACTACCGGGAGCCAATTCTGTTGCTTCACCTGATATACCATTATTCCAAACTGTCACGTTCCTTGCTCGTGTCCATGCTAATGAAGATGAAATTTTAGCATTAATGAGAAATGTTGACATTAGAAAGGCATGCGGGTTTGACGGTATCGGAAATAGAATAATCAAATCTTGTAGTGATGGAATATATTCCTTTTTCACCAAATTTATCAACTTGTCGCTTGCTCTAGGACAGTATCCTACTGTGTGGAAAATGGCTAATGTAGTCCCAATATTTAAAAAAGGCGAACCCCAATTAAAAGTTAACTACAGACCAATATCGCTTTTACCATGTTTGTCAAAAATATGTGAAAGAATCGTTTTTATCAGACTTTATAATTTCTTGTTAGAAATAGGCTTTTTATATAAGTTTCAATCGGGATTTAGACCAGGTGATTCGACAGTAAATCAATTACTGTATTTTGTTCATCAGATTTATTGCGCGTTTGAAGCTGGCAAA